ATTTCTGTATTATTTTTACCACATTTTGCATAATTTTTTTTCTTAAAAAAGTAAAAAGTCGCAATAAGCATCTACTCTAAACACAGAAAATACTTAATAAAATAAAAGAAAATAAAAAATAAGAAGATGCAGTAACAAAATACAAGGTGTTCTATTTCTAATTTAATTTTGCAATATATTCACAAAATATTGTAATTAAATGTAACCATATTACAATTTATGTGCGAACCCTTTCATTGATAAAAAAATTCAAGGAAGTTAAAACGTGGAATAATGTTGCAACGTCGCATCGGAATTTCAGAAATGTCTCACATTGTATATTCCTACGGATTTAAACTCCTCCTAGGAAAATTAACAGTATGGGATGTAAAGGTTTTCTGACAGATAGTTTTGTACAAAATTTTTTAGTCACTTCAATAATCGAAAAAGTTTTAAACTTATTTATACACCCTGTATTTGTTTAACATTTTAGAAATTGTCTCTAAATAAGTTGCATTTAATTGGGTTTATTGAGAGTATTTAAAAAAACTATTTACAATAAGCTTCAATAAATCTGTTAAATTACATGTTTAAAATACATTATATATACTCAGATAATGTTTTTCTGAATAATATGAGAAAATTAACAATATATAAACTTGGTCACCTTCTATAAATAAATTAAAATAAAATTTTTGGAAATGTTAATGAAAAATCCTGTAAAAATATAAAGGGTTTTAAAAAACGAAATTACGACAAATGATTTTCAAAAGTAAGATATATTTAAACAGTTTTACTTTTTTTTTCATTAACTTACAGAAAATGTGTAAAGCTCCACTCGACGGTTGGGATACCCTGTAGAGTAAAATTTTAAAAAACATAATTTACTGTGCCTCCCAGATAATCTAAAAAAATTAATGACGCCATTAGTTTTTACTAAGGAATAAATATGTATTCATTATTTGTTGAAAAATAAACACCACCTAGGAAAATCCATATTTTCAAACATATTTATGTAATCAACGTATATTAACACAATTTTCAAAAATTAACAGAAAAAGAACCAACTATAAATACCACACAGGTATAGAAAAGGAAAAAATATAAGAATAAATAAGGCGAAAGAATATGCAAAGAATTTGTAATTTTTAAAAAAACTTAACCAGGAGAAAATAATAAAACCTTCTTTAAAACAAAACAACGGAGATGTAGAATCTTTAGGAACAATTATAAGAAGCTAGAGTGCAAATTCTTTAAGAAGAATATGGTAACAGAATGTCAGCAGCGACGTTCGTCATTCTGTTTTGTAATTCCTTCTTGATTTAACCTAATGGATTTCAATAATTATTTTTTTCAAAATATCGAAGAAATATACGCATAATATGAACATATTTTTGGTCGAAATATGCACCGCTTTATTAAAAAATATGTGGTTCAATATGCAAAACATGCATATTATTGAAAAGAAAAAAGTTCGGTAAACCTTCACGAATAAATCTTGTAATGGTATTATTATTTGTTTTTTCCAAAGCTTTTGTGCTAATCACATACGAAGTGCCACATTTTTCACTGGTCAAAGTTCCAATCAACAAATTTGCGACATAACGTCCACATGAATAGGTTGTTTCATCGACATGAAAATAAATTAGATTATCGCGTATTATTTGACGAATAGCCTGGTTTCCTTTTAGAAACACATTGTCTACGTAGTTTTTTCTTAAGGTACTCTCATTGGGTACTGTTTTCATGGTACGCTTTTTAAGAAATAATCGTAGCTTGGGGTTATTTAGTTTTGATAAAAGAATATCAGCACCGGGGAATGCTTCACATAACACTAAACATTATTCTTGTTGATCTGTCATCTTCTGTGACTTCACTTTAAAGTTAAAACGTTTTCAGAATCCGAAGTTAATGTAGCACTAGGTTATAATTGATTTAATTTATATCTCAACTCACGGCATTCTATTTTCTGAAACCATGGTGGTTTTAAATATATGAGGTAGTTGAAAGTCAGTAGTACGTGGTAATTTGGCAGCATCATGTTCTGTTTTATTTATGTTTCTGCTAGAACTTAAATTAACTTAAGGAAAAACGTGTTTTTCATGTCGCTGTAGTTTATGAAAACTTCAGCAAGTAAAATACGGTGTCCACAGTGTCGCAGTTTCCAGTCACACTACGCCCTGCGCCACCCGCCTTGCTTCTTCCCTGAAGCCGACCCTGGAGAAAGCTACGTCGCTCCCCTTTTAATTAAATCGGATACATCACAACAGCTGGCGGTGCGCGCACTGCCATTAAAACGCCAACATCATCGCCAGAAACTCGATAAAAAGAAAAGTTAATATTCACCGGTAGGTGTGGACGGTGGCTTCTTCGCCGGATTATTCGGGAAGGGTGTTTATGAATGGGAGATTTAATGAAAAAGGGGGATTAAGGGGAGGAGGGAGCACGGCGGCGGCGGTGCAGGTGACAAAGCTAACGTTAGCTCTAATGGCGGGTTACTTTATGAGCTGAAACAAATTAAGTGACAATGTCAGGTTTTCATAATTTTTAAAGTGTTTTTCGGAGGTGTCAGAAAGTTTGGATGGGGTAAATTGGGTGCCTGAAGGGTCTGTCAGCTGTAGCGTCATAATATACGTCTAATTTGGTGGTTATTCGGAATTTTCAATAAATGAAGCTCCGAACTGATTTTAAAAAAGTAGGAACGTTTGATAGTCGACGAGAGATAAAATGTGAAACCTACTTAATTATTACAGTATAATTTGAATTTGTCTCTGTTTGAAAATTAGCGAAATTTTCAGTAATATGTTTATTAATTAAACTGCCATTGGATGGACGTTTTGACTTACTCACGTATTTTTTTGTGGGCAGCAATGAACACAAGTTTTTATAGAAAACGAAAAAATTGGTCGAAGATAATTTCGACAGTCTATAAGATGTTCAGGACTTCTTGTTGTAAATTCTAGTCCGTCTTCACTTAGCAATAGTTCATAATGGTTAACTCATTCTGGACTAGGTATTAAATCGCTAATTGTTTTGTTTCTCTGTCTCTGTTGATTGCGCTCCTCCTATCAGATTTTCGATTCGGATGTACTTTTGTTCCAAGAAAAAAAAAGTTCCATGTTAATTTTGCGTCTTAATCCTCTATTTCCAGCTTGTTACTCTTCTCTGTGCTGACCTAACTTTAAACTCCGCCACTTATAATAGTGATTTTTTTCCTTTATTTTTGTCTTTCACCTCCTCGGACAGCCAATAGTCATTTAATTTTGCTTCCCCATCTTTTGTTCCCAGCACCTCCGCTGAAACTTTACTTATTGCTCTTTTGATGTGTTCATATTCTTTTTCAATTTCATCACATTTGGGTGTGTTAACTAAATAGTTTTTGCAGTAGTTTTCGCTGGAATGGTTCTTTAATGCTCTCTTGTTTTCGAAGAAATAGTTTATATCGTACGTAGTTCACCTTGTTTTCAGAGACTTCACTAGCTATTTTTGGTATTGTTCTTATAAATAGCTAGATCATCTTAGATATCATTAACCTTTGATCTTTGTCGGGTGATTATGTAATCAATGATCGATTTTTGTTGTAGTGTGGTCTTTCCCACGTGTACTTGTGGATGACTTTCTGTTGAAATTGGGAGTTTAATATTCTTTGGTTTTACAAGGGGTGAGTTGTTAGCTCCTCGCCTCAACCCCCAACCTGGAGGACCAGAATTTTCTGTCAGGGTTTATTCCCTTAGCCGATTTGTCCCAGTTTTAAGGCGCCAGGAATTCGCCTTTCATCCTCTCTCGTTTGCTACATACCATACACCCATTGTATGCCATGTACCCAGAAGTCACGCGACCAGAATATGGTCTTCGGGGACCTGAGAGAAGGGTTTGTTGGCAGAGCTGACTTCGGTTTTCCGAATCTCAGACCCATTTGTCTGAATCCAGTGGGCAACTCAGAGTTTTAACGCTGTGCAAATATCGGCAATTTGCACAACCTCCGAGACCCCTTACCAACCTTTGACTCCCAAAATTGAAAAATCAAAAATGAAAAAAGGAAAAATTGTAATATCGAAAAATTGCAAAATTGCAAAAACGAAAGTATTTTGAATTTGTAAAAATGTAGAGGGTTTTAAAAAACGCAGTTACGATGTGTAACTTTCAAAACGAACACCCTGTATATTTGAAAATAATTTTAAACTAATTTTTTCCATAATTTGGATAATTTAGAAATCCAAAAATTGCAAAATCAAAAAATTTGAAAATTACAAAATCGGGGACGATTCATAAAGCACGTGAAGGATTGATTGTCTTATTTTATAAAGTCGAAATAATATTTACTAATGTAAATTTTGTACAAATCGTCATCCTATTGTTGGTGGGACCGTATATCCAAACTTTGGTTAGCGAGATTCCTAATACACATACAAAATTTGACGACAGTCGGTCTAGTAGTTTCCGAGATTATCTGTCTAATAAAAATTCGAGCAGATGACAAACAGTCAGACAGACAGACGGAAACGGAGAGACCTATTTTTCCGTACTCTACGCTCAGGAAGTAAAAAGTACAAAATAATTAATAATTATAATATAATTATCTCTACAAATTTAAGGAATTTCATGTTTCTTTTTCAAGAAGTTACCGAGCTGTACGTTTTAAAATTAACACAGAGTGTAGGTTATAATTCCAGCAAAATCTTGCTTTTTTATTCATTTCAAATAATAATTCATGACATCTTTACAAAACATAATAAATACTTATTACAAATTAAGTGAACCCCAAGTTTGTATTTAATAAATCTGTGTTGAAAAATACGTGTTAAAATGTCAGCACGTTTTATTTTTTACAATTGCCTTCGTCGTCTCAAATGTCTCAAAAACTAATTTGAACGAACTGCCTATATCGTAAGCCAATATTTTATTCAAAGGACGTGAAAGCTCAAAGGAGTTGTCGAGGAATTTTTCGCCATATTAATGAATATCTCTCGCCTCCCAAAACTCCACCATACAATTGAATTTGCATTTTCTCATTGTTTCAGGTTACCTTCACGAATTCTCTCCTTCAACCTACACAACAACTACCTTCATTCCACGCAACGACCAACCCTTAAGCGGCCAAACGCAGCCATCCTACGCCACTCTGCGGACCGTGGTGGAAACGCAAGACCTCCGGCCCGAATACAGCACTCCCGCGCCCGCCACTCCCGCACCTCGTTCCAGAAAGTCTCTGTCCATGACTTTCACCAGCACGGGAGCGGCGCTGTCCCTGCCTCCCAAAAAGAAGGACATTTACCGGCCCTACTCCCTCGACGACAAACCCGCCCCGCCGCCGCTCCCCCCGCCCGCCATCCGAGTACCCGCCGAGGAGGACCTGCACGCGGCGCACGCCATCCTCGACCTCAGCGCGTCGACGACGGTCTTCCTGCCGCCGCCGCCGCCGCCCCCCGAGGACCGGCGCGAGCCGGACGACCTGCAGGCGCCGCCCAAGACGGGCAAGACCATCGCCTACACGTACGAGGCCTTCTTCGTGAGCGACGGCCGGTCCAAGAAGCGCTTCAGCCCGGACGAGCCGGGCCTGCCGGGCAAGACCCTGACCGGCGAGAAGCCCAAGTACACGTGCAGCGAGTGCGGAAAGCAGTACGCCACCTCCAGCAATCTGTCGCGCCACAAGCAGACGCACCGCAGCCTGGACTCCCAGTCGGCGAAGAAGTGCATGACGTGCGGGAAGGCCTACGTGAGCATGCCGGCTCTGGCCATGCACGTGCTCACGCACAAGCTGGCGCACCGGTGCGGGGTGTGCGGCAAGCAGTTCTCGAGGCCCTGGCTGCTGCAAGGCCATCTGAGGTCGCACACGGGCGAGAAGCCCTACGGCTGCGCGCACTGCGGGAAGGCCTTCGCGGACAGGTCCAACCTGCGCGCGCACATGCAGACGCACTCGGCTGATAAGAACTTCGAGTGTCCGCGGTGCCATAAGACGTTCGCGTTGAAGTCCTACCTGAACAAGCACCTGGAATCGGCGTGTTTGAAGGAGGAGGCGCCGCCGCCGACGCAGAGCTGCGCCGAAGAGGTGGCCAGGGAGGTGCCGGTGCCCATTAGGGTCTACGCGGCCTGAGGGTTGGCCTTTGTCTAGTCAGCTTCTAGTCATTCCGTCTTTCCTGGTAAAGTGCTTTCGGGGACGCGCGAGCAATGCTGATACAGGTCAATCATATACCACTTACAAAAAAAAAAAAAACTGAATGATATTCAACAAAATATTTTTGGCTGATGGGTAAATAACAATACGAATTGTAAATTTGCTCACTAAAATTAAAAAAAACCATTTGACAGTAACTTTAATAATGTTAAACAATTACGTTTTTTTTGAATAACAAACTGCAAGACAGTCTTCAATACACTGACAAGAGAAACTTTTACCAGAAAGTTAACTACGATTAACTGAAAATAATTAATTTAAACTCAATATGGCCAACACAATACTCCCAAATCGAAAGTGAATCCTTTATTAATTAGTTATCACCCGAAAGGTCTCGAGAGCCTCCAATATAACATTAGTATAAGAATGTTATATAATACTGTTACATTGCAGCATTATATGATTGTTATATTGTCGTTATATTTTTTACATTACATTATGGTCGTGTTATATAACTGTTATAGTTTTGTATTGTGTTGTGTAAGTCAATTTTTAGTAGTTTCGAAATAAACTAAACAATATTCAAACAATACAAAAATTTACTTACACTACTTTAATTACAACGACAACCGTGTGTTAAAAAAATCTGTTTTCTCGTCAGTGCTGCATGTTTTCAGTTCCCTTTAACCGGAAGTGTGTTTCATATTCAGAAATTAAAAACCGCTTAGTAAAAGCAAATTCAGCGACGGCTCCACTTTACAATCAATATTGTTAATTACTCACCAACACAGAAGTTATTTTGCTCCAGGAACAACCCAAACGCTTAATTTAACTTACCAAGTTCAATCAAATATCGAAACTATCTGACCAAACCCAGCCATTGCAGAGCTCTGAACTTCGGCGTCGAGCTTTCCGCCTTCTGGAATGCCATTCTGCACGGCGTCGTTGCTCGCCCGTCCCCTGGTACTTTTTATACATAGTGTAGTTTGTAAGTGCGGCACGTCGCGGCGCTGTTCCAGCACGCCGCGCCGCCTAGATTAGCCGTGATTTATTCTTCGCGAACTGATGCCCCTTGTAAATATCCCTCCCAAAGAGATAACACATCGCAACACGTCCAATAAGTTAGGGTTAGATGTAAGATGGTCTCTACCTTTAGAACACCACGGGTCGCGGACGCGAGCGACTCTCGCGCCCTCTGTCGAGAACCGTCGAGGTCTCGCTCGCGCCACCGATCCAGAACAAGATGTTATCGGCACCCTGTATAGGCGTCATTTAGTTAATTAAATCGCGACATTCCAACGTTCGTTACGAACAAAAGCAAAGTTTCACAAACAACGAAGTTATGCAAATACTAGTATTATACATATTTAGATTAAGAGTGGAATTAAGTGAGATTTAAATATTTATAATGAGCGGCCGGAGCCGCATCTAGTCGCAGCCTCTAGTCCCGGTCCCGTTTAATCCAGTTCTAGTCCCATTTATAGTCAATTATATTTTCGTTTCGGTATTTGTTGTGGAGATCTATATTATATACCTGCGCGGAGTCTAAAGCACGTCTTAGACAACGACTTAAATTCCAATTATTGTACTATAGCGAACAAGAGTAAAAATATAAAAGAGAAAAAAAAAATGAGATCAACGAAGCATAGTTTTGGCAGTATTTTTGCAAGCATATACTTATTATACATGATAATTATATATTTATTAAGGTATTGACGACGTCGGTACCGTCGTTTAGGTAAGCGAATATGGAGTAGCACCTATATCTGTTGTCCCTGATTGTTACGAGTGGGCCAGTGCAATGAGGCCAAGCTAGGTCAAGGGCTATTCGAAGGGACAAACGACTAATTAACATTTGTGCAATTACTTGATGGATAATAGTATCAAATATGGCTATATTTTGGTCAAAACTTAAAGTACATTCAAAACAAAATCTGAAAATAAATATTTTTCACACACTACTTTTGTATGCGAATAAAGCTCGCGAGTAAAAATCCTCGTCAATCGTGGACACGTGCTGCTTTGAAATTCACGCAGATTTCAGGGTTGTATTCAGGAAAATTTTGCTTTAGAAAGAGTAATTAAAAATAAATCGGCTAAATGCTTCGATAAAATACGGTATAGTGGTTAATGAAAACCATATACTTACAAACACAATAACAAGGTACTTTTCTGTCAGTGCATAAGGTGGTTATAGGCACCTTGGTTAACTTCAGTACAGAATCCAGCGATACGGCCTTGTTCAGTGTTTGGCCAAGAAGGTGTCTAATTTATGGTTTCAGAAATTATAAGCTTAAGCTTGAATTTTAGGTTGCAAAATTTTATTAAAATACAAAAATAGTGTGCAATTTCGAACTCATACTACATCTAGAACCTTTGCTGATAATGACTTTCAATTCACATATTTGTAGCAACAGCAGTGTACTAAACTAATTATTCTCCAACTATGATATTCTAGAATAATACCAGCTAGATATTAAATTTCACTATCTAATTCTAATCCTATTTCTTCTTCGCTATACTTTTAAAAACTTTACACACGTTCTTACGCAGAGTGTGCTATTCATTTCTTCAACTACATTCTAGAGCTATTGGACACAAATTCTAACGACTATCGTGCAAATCACCTCTTAAATTTCTTATTCCTTCTACAATCTATCTTTCATCTAATCTAATACGCACTTTTTCGACACATCTTTTTTAACCGGAGTCTCAGTCCAGACTCTTTACTTTTATTCTTGTTCTATAAATATTTCCATATCTCTATTCATTCAATTCGTCGTTAAATTTTAATTTTCTGTCTTGATAGCTACTTTTCTCATTCTTCTATTTTTCTCATTGCTGCAGCAACATAATGTTGTATCTGAATTAAATTCGAATCAACCAACAGTTCTTGTAAAAAAATTTTGAAGTGCGATAGCAGAAAAGGATTAAATTAAACTCACAGTGGCCAACACAATACTCCCTTATCAAAAGTAAATTTTTTATTCATGAAAATAATTCCTACAGTTTTAGATTTTGAATGTACTTTTAGCACCGCTCAAAGTCATCACATTATCATTATCAAACCCATATTTTCACATTTCTTGTACCATAATTTTTAAAATAGCCGAGTACAATACTTTGTGCAGTTTTGTAAAAACAAAATTGTGAATTTGTAGCTGAACAAACTTTAATTTAGAGAATAAGCATATCATCAAAGCAACTAGTGTATGCTTCAAAAAATAGAAACAGGTAATTGTTTCAAGAGGGAGGCTATTTTAATACAAAAATTGTAGCCTAGTCCGACTTTCTTGGGCATACATTATTTGTTTTAAATTTTCGAAAAGTTCATTTTAAATGTCGATTTTTATAGTTGACAGAGAAACTTAAAAACTCAATGTGTCCCTTCGAGCAGCCATTGGCGTCCGTGCTTGCGCCGTTAGGGGGCCCGCGCGCTGCGCCAGGCGAGTGTGCATCTAGTCATTAGCCAGATAGTAGTGTCGGGCCGTAATCGCCGCCGCTGGTGACGTCCACGATCCGGTGTCGATGGTGCCTTAGCGAAAACAAGCGACGATCGAGGGGGGCGCCGTCGCGTTTCTCAACAACGAACCCGGAAACGAATTTTATTTACTCGAAAAATTCAAAAAAAGAGAACAAAACACTTCGTCCAATTTCGTCTTTCCGATGCGACGACTCACCAGTGGCGCGCCGCGTCAGCTTCAGTCAGTAGCGTAGAGAGCACCGTAGCGTGTGAGAGCAAGTTAAGCGTATATAGGGGTTATTTATTTGACATATATACATATAGTTTATTAAAATATTCGCTGGCAATAATTCGGGGGGAGACGCGAGCCGCGACATCCTCGAAAACCAAAGCAATAAAACACCGCGTGGCCGAGTTATTGGGGTTGTAGGCACGGTTGGGCAGAGGGAAATTTTAGAAGGAACGCTTTCCAATAAAATACGATACATTTATAATATTTTTACAAAAAAGTCGAAATAGTCGAGTTTTTCAAAATTGTCGATACCAAGAGGTAGGCAAGCTATAAAAGTTATACAAACGAAATGTGCACCGGGAAATTCTTGTCAGATAGACAAGACTTTTTAATTCGATAATAGAATTTTGTATTGAAGTTTTCTGGGTGCACGTTTTAGTTGTGCAAATTTTACGCGGCCCCCCAAAAGGTATTGCCAAAGAAGCAAAACACATATTCTAAGGAAAAAAGAACATCAGTTTCTGTTTCAAATAAGAGAGCAACAAGCGGTCGACATCTTGCCTAAAAATTGTTTCTGACAACTCGTGTGGGCTTGAGGGCAGCGGGGCTCAGTATCGGCCCCCGGAAGCCGGGTATTCAAAAGCAATAAGCACAGTAGTCGGGTCGAGGGCGGCCTGGAACCATAGCAATATTTAGATAACGAATACTTAAGTAAACTAGACTTAAGATCTAGACATCGAATGAGCCGACGGCGACGCCGCCACAGCGTCACGTGGTCAATTATGGAAGAGTGGCGGGTGGCGGCGTTGCCGTTTAGTTTAGCTGCCTGCCTATCTATATATAAATATATAGCAATATAGTGTCAGCAATAGTTTACAATTATACTATTAACGAATATAATCAAAGCAATACCATATATTGTATTATTTACTTAGTCATAGGTAGAGAGGTTTAGACGACTTAAGTAAAGAATCAACCTGTACTAAAAATAGCCCTCTAGCGTGGTAGTGTCACGCGCGAGTAGCAGCAATGCCAAAGATGTGGAGATGTTGTCATGACGTTTAGTATATATTTAGTGTAAAGTTTAATGTTCTGCGGATGGTTGGAGAGTTTTACACTTTGGCTAAGCGCAGAGCTTGCAGAACCTGTACACTTGCAGTCCAGTACTTGACCACATTATTATTATATTTGATTATGATTATTATTATTATTATTACTGTAACACTACATAGTAAGTTTTGTATTATATTTTCATAATAAATAGTCTAGAAAATTAAGAATTATTTTATTTCTATGATTTTCACTTGTTTACCTCCTAAAACATTCCCGAGTTTGTTAATGTAATATGAATGTGTTAGAAACCCTTCATGTTTATTCAAATTGTGTGATCAAGATAATTTTAATCGCGCTGGACAGTGTAAAGTCACATCTGTGGGTTAAACTTGGGTGAAAACTATACTGATATTGATTTATTATTTACTGCAAAATGTCTAAATTTATTTCCAGAATTGATCCCGACTGTAAACTGTTTTGTGTAGTTTTTGACAAAAAAAAGTAGTCCTAGTGAGGTAAGTGACTGACCAGTAACCGTTTCAGAAATGTTGAGGGTTTTTCTTTATTTTATTGTTGTTATATTAAAAACGAATGTAGAAAAAGTGGTTTAAATTTATTTACCTAGAATTTCCCTAACCCTCTAAAGACAATCCATTAAAAAATCTAGGGCCGGTTTGTACAAGGAGAATTAAATATTTAATCTTAGATGATTTTATCAGAAGATTAAAATGTAGAATGTGAGCCCACGGATTGGTTAAAACATGCACGTTGCATAGCAACGAACCTCAATTAAAAGTTAATCGCGATTTAACTTTAATTCGCTTTCTATAAACGGGGTCTTAATGTCTTAAACAAATTACAAAATTGTATTCTGTAATTTTTTTACGACAATTTCCATATGTTAAAATAAAGTGGACTATTAAGCTACAGGTAAAGTAGTATAACGTACTGTATGTTTCAAGTAATGCTATCTTAATAAAATTTTATGATGACGTCATTATTTTTTAGTTTAGACTAATATGTCAATTTTCACTTCAAACCACAAAAAAAATCGAGAAAATGAGTTTAAATGTTTTCGATATAATTAATAAAATATTTTACTTCATCAACTTTTTTAAATGTTCTATCTACATGGATAACAAGGTTAATAAATAGCATTGAATGTGTCAACCTCAAGTGTAGATGCCCATTATTTTGTACCTGTTACATTTACTTAGCAAAATCTGCTAAAATAACATATAATTTCCAAAAATATAAAAAAATTTAAATACAGTACTGTTACGAAATAAACCCATACGCCGCGCCGGTACGACGCCTATGGCCGTCGAGAGCTTTCTGGACGTTGATGGGTGAGTCATCATTGCTGACGATGTCGACGCGGCTCTACAAAGGTAAGTCTGGAGCTGCTGACCGGAAGTTTCGATTGTGAGCCCAGAAGACTCTCGATGCGGCGTTCTGAATCCATCGAGACGCACGCATAGGTTTAAATAGAGTCCACCGTCGGGAACAGATTCATTCAGCTAGTTGAGTCAAGAGCGTCCAGTGAAATTCGCCGGAATAATGTTTGTACATAATCGCTGCAACAGTTAGTCGTGTAAATACGAATTATTAAGAAATAAATTGTTGAGTTTCCTCCACGCCAAATTCTATTCTCCGAACAACGTAACGTTACTTTAATAAATGACCAACAGTTATCATACCATAACAATTGCAATTATTTAACAATTTATGATAAAGACGTTCCACAAAGTCAAATAAACGAAAAATATCAAAAAGCTAAAGTATGTTATAACATTATGAAACTAAATTCATTGTTTGACCACTGGAAAAAAAACATTTTCATTTTGAATTATTAATAATTTCTTAGTACATTTCAAAAAAATTGATCGATAGTTATTTAGATACAAATTCCCTCGCACCTGAAGCTAAACATTCAAACAAATTCCATCTCTTGGAAAAAAAGGCCGCCTAAGGTACTCTAGGCCACCCAGCCTGAATAAACTGTCGTCTTACATTATCTAGATTGTTGGACTTTTTTGTGAAAATTTGGATGCCAAAGGGAAAAAGTCAAAGTGGATTCATCAGCCACAAGGACAGGAGTATGTTATTTTATAATATTTAAATGTATTTACCCTGAAAAATTATAAAATTTGAGTATATGTACAATCGGTCGGATAGTTTCGGACACAGGTCTACGTTGGTCAAATTGTCTGCAACTTATCTACTGATTTTTAATAGATATTTAGTATATGCTCCCAAAAATAGCTACTTTATGGACTCATTTAAGTCCGTAAAATGAGTCTTTTTCGGACTCAATCCAAAAAGAAGTTATTTTTCAAACTAGTACGTAAAATACATGTTCTTTGGACTAACCGCTGCTGTTTTTTCGGACTAGTACCTAAAATTCAGCATTTACAGACTAATCGCTTTTGGGAGTTTTAACTAAAAAATGCTGTTTATAACACGTACTTAAAAAGGTTTTTGTGGATTAATCTGGTCTTCCGGAATGGCCACGCCCGTAAATTGTTTACGGAATAGCAGATGAGTCCGCAAAAAAAATTTGTGTTACAAAAAACATTTTTAGTTAAATCTCCCAAAAACAGCAACGATTGTTGAACTTTAGGTACAAGGCCGACAAATAACTATTTTTTGGATTGAGTCCAAAAAAATGCTCATTTTACGGACTTATATGAATCAGTAAAGTCGCTATTTTTGGGACTACAGACTAAAAACTGTATTTTAAATATTTGTAACATAAATAACTATTTTGGTGCTGAAAAAGAGAGAAAAATTTAATAAAAACATAGTGAATTTATGATAAAGAAGTTAAAAGTAGTAACAAATTTGTCACACAAGTGTAAATACTGTTACGTTGATCGGTGAATAAAAATCGGCGTGGGTAAAACTCAACAATTTATTATTAGTAACTCGAGTTAACACGACTAATTACACAGCGATTATGTACAGAATAATTCCGACTGGAATGGATTTGATTACACTCTACTTCTCCCATTGTCTGGACTTCACTGACTCCTCCTGACGGTGGTTCCTATTTAAACAGCCGCGCGGTCCTTCTAGAATGGTCGCCGTCACCGCTTCTAGGCTTATTCTGGAGCTTCCATCGCGACTTCTGCTTCCAGGCTTTACTTTAGTGAACGCCGTCCGGTCGCCGTCACCGATGATGAGTCACCCATCATCGCCGCACATACTAGAAAGCTCGAGAACCCACAGGCGTCGTACCGGGGCGGTGTTTGAGCTTATTTCGTAACAATACAAACACTTACATGTATTGACATTATTGCATGGCTGTGTCGTGTTCACCACCACTATTTTTTTTTATTATTATTTTTAATTTGAAGGTTTTTGTGAAATGGAGAAAAATGAATTCAATACCCAAAAATACACAACTATCAAACTGAGAACAATTTTTCGAAAGTTAAAAAACGCAAGCCCGTAGTCTACCAAATGAAAACCGACAGCAGGCAAACAGATAGACAGACGGAAACGGAAGACATGTTGTTCGTACTGTAGGGGTCATGAAACGTCCAAAAAATCATGAAAATGTTGGCTTACCCTCGGGAAGTAATATTTTATAGGAAAAGACGAGAATCATTTGCCCGTCCATTGGTTATAATGACTTCTGTTTTAGTAAAAAAAAAAACATAATAATATAACAATAACGCAAATTAACAACAACGCATTCGTCAAATTTTCTTTTTTTTTCATTTCCCGAGTGTAAAAATAAACTAGGGAAGTATCATAATATGGTCCATTCGGCGAACGGCGAATTTAATGTTTTTTTGATGTTTCATGAACTGTAAACTATGAAAAAATAGGTTTTCCGTTTCCGTCTCCTGAACTACTGGACTGATTGTTGCCAAATTTTATACATAGTTTAGGAATATTGTATAGATGGTAAAACGCTAACCACAATTTGTCTGATCTTGTCCACGAACAATGTGATTACGTCATCTTAAACTTTTGGATAGTAAATGTCATTTAAATTGGATAAAAAAAAGAAACATTTATATTTGTAGTTCATCAACCCGTTTCTATTTTAATATCTCGGACAAATTTGTATCGCCTTATTTTCAACACAGATAAATTGTAAATAATAAGCACATTAACAACTTATTTTTATCCTCCTTGCTTCAAATTTTGATCAAACTTGGTAGTTAATGAGAATTTTATATCTCAAAGCTAATGAAGATATAATTTGAAATATTTACTTATATGGTGGGTTAACGCTCTTAAAATTCTCAAACGACAACTTAATACCTATTTTTTGGTAGCACTGTTTTAATAATCTCAGCGAAATTACCAGATTTGCATATAATTGCTTTTGAAGGTGTGACAAATTGCCCATGTACACGAATAAAGTAAAAATAATAATAACTGACGGACTAAGAACTTAGAAACAGTAACTTTTGCACTTTTAGTGTGGTGGCAATGGTGCATACGACAATGTAGGGCAGAAAAGTAACCAAAATTTATGCATGAAAATAAAAGACGTAGAGATATATCACTTCATTTATCGTTTCCACACAATCCACTTTCCTAAATCCCCAGACACAACGGTGCGATACGTTTTGTTCACATTCTGTAAAGTAAATAAACATATTTTTTTACAATAGAAAAAAAGTCTTAAAGCTAAGAGTTAAAAACAAAAATTTTAGAAGGCAATCTTTGAGAAGTTAAAACGTAGGTAGGTGCTGTGTTCTTTATTAATTTTTTTATATTAAATAACTTAGGTATGTATATTCGAAAAATCTGTGTTAGTTTTGGAGAAAAATGTATTTTACATTTTTGTCGAAAACACTGAGATATTCTAAATAGATTAGCGCCTATTTTATCAGAGTTAGTTCTGTTCTACAATTTAACATAATTTATGTTGCATGTTCCTTCAAGAAAAGCGCCTGTTGACTCAAAAAATTAAGCTTTTCAACCTTGTGTTTTCCCTTTATCACAAATCGCAGACAAATCATAAACCACATTTAAATTCGGGCGTTTTTAGCCCAATAAAGAACGATTATCGTTGAAAGTTTTTCCACATACAAGCCCTTCAGCCGTTTATCTCAACCGGTTGGTTTAAAATTTATCGTCGGTTCAACAATAACGTTTTATAAAAAAAATGTTTATCGGACCTTTTCCACGTCGGAAAGCGTCTAATCGGCGAAAAGATATCCGGGGACAATTAGAACACGATTAAAAGTGTGAAAATATAATG